CTTAGAAGACGATGTTTTGTCAGCTTACGACAGAGGGCTGAGCCAAATACTACCATCTCATGCTTTTATAAAGTATATGCATACTAAAAATATATTAATACACCCATAGATGAGTAAAATATTAATAAACAGGTAGCACTCTTTCTGTTTCCAAGAAGCTTGTAAGTCAAACAGGCAATTGAACAGGCAAGACTGAGACAAGATAAAAAGCGAAAAAGACAATGTCCAGGCTCAGAGAGGAAACATAGAGCTTTAAGTGCTCTTTTCATCATCAGAGAGTCACTCTTAGCTTTTTCCAAGGTGATACTGCTGAAAATATAGAAATTAGTTTTCAGTTAGTAATTTGTCATCTTCCATAACTGAAACATTCTGTTTAAAATGTCTAAATAAAACATACACACACAACTCCCCTGGATTCCCCCTTCAAAGGAAAGCAAACCACCAGACAGACTACAGCTCACACCCTGCAGCTGTCAACAAGGTTAAGGTTGCCACCACAGTCTTCCAGGGTATCTGGTAAAGAAGAGGCACCTGGAGGGCTTTCCTCCTAGCATCTGGAGGAATTGGTTTTCTCGTCCTCCAGGAAAACACTGAGGTGGGCAGCACACGGGTTAGACATCACACGTGATGTAGTCTGTAAATCTGATTAGAAACTCACCAGATGAGCTGATGTCAAGGAAAGACTTCAGATGGCCTCCATGGCAACTCATGGGAGGTGCACTATGCAGCAGAGCTCCAAGTGCACCCTGGCCCCTGAACCAAAAGGAGATGGTGCCTGTTGCTATGACCTTGCCCTCTAGTCCTCAGGCTTGATCGAATGAAAATATGGGTATATCAAGAGTGCCCAACTCCTTAGCATTGCTGATAAGACGAGGAATGACAACCCACAGCAAGTGCCAGAACACCAAGAGCACTCAGTGAAGGTTCTGTCCTCCTGCCACTGCCCAGCTCCACTGTCCCCGAGGAAGGATGCAGAAGAAGTTCTAAAAACTGGAAAATCTGAGCAAGTGTTAGAGAAAACAGGCTTCAGTTTACTTGGGGTTCATTAAAACATGTAAATCATATGAAGAAAAAACATGGAAGAGCCAATTTTCAGGTTCAAATAAGTATGACAAACATACCACCTAAAAAATCAACCTAGCTAGTAACTGCACATTAAGGGAGGAAACACTACTTTCTTTTTAAATTGGCAAAACTGTTGTAATTATAATGACTAATGTTGATCAAAGTGCAGTAAAACAGTACATATTTTTATGAAGTTATCCAGCATTATAAGCCAATAAACGTTCACTATAATTTACTCAAGTTTCATTTCTAAATAATGATCCTAAGGATGTAAGCCAAAGTATGGAAATTTTGATATGTATGATAATTTCACTATGCTATTTATTTAAAAGTGGCATAAATTATATACATAATAAAATATTATACAGCAATAAAATGGATGGTTATGAAAATAATAAAGGATTATTTATTATTTTCATAATAATAAATTATGAAATTTATTGCTGTGAAAAAATGGAAAACTGTGAAAAAAAATGATGTCTAAAAAAAGCTAAGATACTAAACTGAATATGTGGTTTATTTATTTATTTATGGTTTATTTATTATGGGGGGGTACTGGGGATTGAATCCAGGGTCTCACACATAATGGGCAAGTGCTTTGCCACTGTGCTACATCTCTAGCCCACTAAACTGAACATAATTCATGATTATAATATGAAATAAACAATTTGTATAGGAAAATGTTAAAAGGTATATTTGGAAAATAGGATATTAATAAGGAATTTTTTAGAATCTCTAGTATTCAAATTTTTTGAAACACTTATTTTTTGGAAAACAAACACGCATGTTGACTGATATACTCCAAACTCCTCTAACAAAAATCACACTATCCAACTGGAATTCATTCATGCATTGATTTTCACTAACAGTGCACAATGCATAAGCCAACTCATTACTTAGGACTAATATTATTCAAATGACTTGGGTGGGGGAAGAAATGCAGTTCTCCATAGTGACAACCCAACTTTCATCTTTTCCTCTTTCCTATCCATTTCCACTTTCAGGTTGAGTGAAAAACAAAACAGAGTTCAAGGAAAGTCAGAGCAGCCCATATTCCCTGCATGTCCCATTCTTAGTGCTTCCTTCTCCACCAGGCACCAGCTCACCAACAAGGGCCAAAAACATGCTGCAAGTCAACTAAGCCTGGACTAATGGCCTCTCCAAGGGGTTTCCATAAAAGAATCTAAAGTGTTTAAAAATCATCTACCAGACAACTCCACACTTCTTTAGCTCATCGGTGCAGGTGAGAGGTTTTATAAGTGATAGTGAGTCAAGAATGAAGAAATCCAAATTATTCTTCTCATGCATTCTATCGCTTGTTTCTTTGGAACTATCCATCTCTAGATAAAAAGGAGTCAAAACTCAACAAAGTTATGGGTTGGGCCAAAACACTGAACATCCTTTACCTCCTGAGCCCACATTTATAGCACTGGGAGAACTCAGCCAGAGTCCTCTCGGTCTGGTTGCAGGAGCCTATGCTACAGTATGTGGCACCAAACAGTCTATAACTTCCTAAACCATCCCTGTTAGTGACACAGATAACCCCTTAAGCACAAAGGAACATAACAGTGAAATTCAACGGAGCCCTGCTTGTCTCTTGGGTCACAGACATATTGAATATCATACATTGCTGAGTTTCAGGCTCAAACCTTGGCAAGCAGGCTATTAAAGTGTCTGAAGCAGGGCTGTGTGGATGCAACTTTGTTTACCCAGCCAGCCAAGGGCTGCACCGCTGGAGCCTTGCTGGCGAGCCATGGCCGAGCTCACAAAGCAGCCTTACAGCTCCGGACCCAGCCTCAATGGCCTGTCTGTTACGTCTTTTAAGATATTTTGATGTATCACATCAACCCAGCAGCTAAACCTGGCAATAAGCTCAAACCCCACATACGTTTCTTCTTCTTTCTAACATCAGCACTTCCACACAAATGACACTTTCCAAAAATAACCGGACAGAACTCCAAGAAGTGCATCCCTCCTCCCAGATCATCTCTCTCTCCTCATACCACATCCATTGCCAACTGACAAAGGGCAAAATGACCCACTTATTGTACCTCCATTAAAAAATACTAAGCCAATGAAGAGGAAGGAAACTACAGTGGGGGAGATTTTCACCCTCTATCAAGCTTCAGAATCTGAGTGGAATGTGTGGAACACCATGATTCTGGAAAACACCATGGATTATTTTGAACAGTTGAAGTTCATCTATGAGATGCAAATACAAGGAATTTAGAAGCTTTTGAGTTAAAATTTCTCCTCTGACATAAGAAACTATAAAAGGGAAAGAAGAAGAAGAAAGCCTAATGACAAAAACCTTAAGAAGCAGAGCTCCTTGGTCTTATCTTAGATTCCCCAGTGGGGTCCAGTTACCCCCACCTTAGGAAGAACGCATTCCACCGGCCGTCCATGGTCTAAAAGTTGGAGAGAGTGCTTCAAAGCTGGCATCCCCCCACAGTGGGGAGGTGTCCGAGCTGGGGAGTAAGTGGCAGGTCAGCCAACACTTTGCCGAGCTCCGGTCACTCCCTTTTTAGAGGGTGTGCATCAGGGCGTGCCTTGTGCCATGTGCCATGTGCCCAGTGCTGGGGTCACATGAGGAACCCTCACTCATTCAATTTAGAAATAGACCTAACCCTCTATGAGAATGACACATCCAATAATAGGCAGGGGCCACCTGTCTTCTCGTGCTCCACTCTCTTCCCACACAAGCTCAGTAACTTCAAACCACTGGCAACTCCCAAATTCACTCCTGAGAGCTTGCTTTCCAGCCACCCTATTCCCAGCTGCCCGGTCCCTCTACTTCCACATCTCGTCAATCACAGAATCCTGTCATTTCTATATCCTTGCCTCTCTTAACTTACAACACTGTTCTATTCCCACTGCCTCCAGCCTTGGCCACCCTCACTGATTCCTCCCTGGACTACTGAAACTGTTCCTGAAGGGCCTTAGGATCCTCTAATCCATCTTGCACTGCCACTGAAGGCAGCTATTAAACACCAACACACAGTCCCTACCTAAAAGCACCAGGCTTCCCAATGGTATTTTTGCCCTTCATTCCAGACAAATCCTTATGGCCTTTCTGTCTCAAGAAACGGCATTCCCTCCACAGTACATCCTGCTCTTCCATCTCCATCCCACAGCTCATGAATCCTTCAAGATCCAATCTCCTCTGGGAAGCCCTCGCCGGCTCCAGCAGTTGAGAGCCATATAGTCTGTTCCCCTAGCACTTTCTTCATACTTCTATCCTAAATAACACAATGAATGGCAGTGATCTGTTCAAGTACTGGTTTTTCCCAGAGATAACGCCAAAGAGTCCTTGTGGGAAGGAACCCTATCTTCATTTGTGAGCCTGGTTCAGAGTGGCACAAAGCACACACTTGGTGTGACTGAATCCATCAGTCAGTCAGAAGACACACGGAAGGCTATGAGAGGAGTTAGGGCAAAAGGGTGAAAAGATGTTGATGGTCAGGACACCTAAGTCTAGTCCCCCGCTTCCCAGAGTTGTGTGGACATTTATTAATCTCTCTAGGATTTAGTTTCCCACCTAAAAAGGAAGGAGAACCATGTGATTTTCAGGGTCTCTTTAATTCATCTGTTCTAACATTCAGACTACACAGTAAATCTACAGTGAAGACAAGACTATAAAACTCTTTGGCAACAGTATGTTCTTTAGGGAACCCTCCAAAGCCAGCCAGGAGAATGCTCCTTTGCGGGCCTCTAGGCAGGGTGCTAACACTGGTGGTCCCTCCCCTCCAGTCATCCTCCCCCAGTTGCTTTCTTAAGTTTGGAGAAAATCCCCAGTTGCCCTCTACTCATTTTGCCCCAAAGTGGACTGTTAAATATTATATACAAGAGGGGGTGGGGGGAGCCTAATGACAAAAATCTAAGATGCATTGAAAGTAACATGACTGCTAAGTTGACCCCCAAGGCTTGATAATCACCTGGTAACCCCATACTCTGGGGGTGGCTGGTACCTCAGCACAGCCACTTCTGTTCTAGCAGGCTGAGGAGCAGGGTAAGGCTTGACCATCTCGTGGAGCATCCCAGGGTGCTGGTCACTGTAGAAAAGTCCATGATCCTGGTTCTTGCTGACTGGGGACATCATTTGCTTGGTCTTGAAGGGATACTCAGGTGGAGGACCACGAGGGTCTAGCACTTTCGCAGCAGGCTGGGCGGGAGAGGGCCCACCTCCTGCTTTGAACCCCTTTCCATTCCCTGAGCTGGGGAGGTGTTGCTTAGCACCATTCCTCTCCAACGACAGCTGCATGATTCTCTCACTCAGAGAGCGGACATGGCCCTGCTTCAGTTCTTTAAGCGCCTCGTCCTTATGAGCCTGTCCACTGTTGGCACGGTTCACCGTGGGCCTCCCCTCAGTGCGGGACTTCTGACTGGTGCCCCCAGCCATGTAGTAACCGTGGCTCACTGGCCCCTGCTGCTGCTGCTGTTGCTGCTGCTGCTGCTGTTGCCCCCTGAAGAACTGTGACTGGGCTTTGGCCTCCTCGTAAGTGGGCAGTTCCTCATTGTTCTGCTGAGGCTGTGTGGACCGGACCTGTTTCTCCATCACCGTATTGTCCACCTGGTGTTCCTGACCCTGCGGTTCTTGGCGTGCTGACTGGTAGACCATTTGTGGGTCTTCTTGAGGGAGGTTTTCCGTGGAAGAAAAGTTGTTTGTAGGGTGAGCTGGTCCTGCACTCCCTGTGGCCTGGTGCTGAATGGCTAGCAAGTTCATGTTCTCGGTGGGGGTGCCATACCGCAGTTGCTCCTGGATCAGCCGCTGTAATACTGTTCCAGCTGCCGCATCCTCGGAACCTCTCATTTCCACCTCTGAGATCCTCAGGAAGTTTGGGGAGTGGAAGTTACAAAGAGGATCCTCTAAAAGACAAATATAAGAAAAAAGGTATCAGGCTGTTCCCCAGGAGATATATGCTTATAAGTAGGTGGAACAATTAACATTCTAACTACAGTAGCATTAACGACAAGATTTTAAATATCCCATCACCTCCACCTATCTATTCTGCAATGTATCATGGATGTTTCTCCAATTCACAGTGACTCTGCAACTCTCCATCTCCTCTCCTCCTGCTCCTCCTCGACTTGCTTCATCCTTCAGCACCTCCCCCCCCCTTTTCTTTAACCTCTCCAATGGTCCCTTCTCTTCATCCACATAAACATAACCCAAGTCTTTCCCATCTCAAAAAAAAAAAACCAAAATCCAAATCAAACACAAAGAAACCGTCTTCTCTTGGCCCTACCACAGACCTCTAATTGCTACCCTGCATCTCCCTTTTCCTTCTCCTCTGGTTATCTTCAGCAAGCAACCAACACACTCCGTCTCCATGTTCCAAATGCTCCATCCACTGCTCTGAATAGTAACTAAATCCAACAAGAGTTTTCCAACTCTCAGATTACACACCTAACCTTTCCAAAGCATTCGACATGGTTGATCACGCGCTTCTTGAAATGCTTTTCTAACTTGGCATCCAGGCTGCCCCTCTTCCTGCCTCCGAACACTCGCCTGCTCCCTATTCTCCATCTGTGCCTTCAATTCTACATTTCTGCCTGGGTCTGGGTCTGTCTTGAGTGCTCTTCTGCCCTCACTCAACAAGATATTCATCTCCTCTCCCGAGTCACCACCCCCATATCTAAAACAGCAGCCGACAGCTCTTAAGGCCCTTCTACTTCAACACATTCTCCTTTCCCCACACACTTGTCCACCCCAACCTGGGCTTCCCCTGTCTCAGCTACATTCTGTCAGGCCAGAAACTTGGGAGTTTTCCATAGTAATTCCTTCCTCTCTCTGACCTGCAACATCCAGTCATCACCTATCAATTCTGCTTCCTAAAGATCTCTGCCAACTTTCTTCATTATTCCTAAGTCAATTTCCACGTTTATTATTAATAATTACAATAAGATTTTAAAGTGTACATGATGTGGCAGTTGTTACACTACAATCTCTTCCTGTGTTATTTAATTTATCCCATATACAATCCCATGAGGCAGATATTATTACCCAGCTTACAGATGAAGAGAGGCTCAGAGAAGATAAGTCAGAGGCCTCAGAGAGGCAGAGCCAAGATCTGACTCCAAATCTATGAGCATTCCACAACTTTACAAGTCACTGGCTTCTCATATCCAGACCATTTCAACTTTATGTCCTGACTCTAGTCTCATTTCTATTTATTTCTAAACCCACCCCTCAGATCCCAATCTACCTTCCACATTACCTTGAAAAATTATTCCAACAGAAAAACTGACTCCTATTACTTCTCTGCACAAAGCCTCAACAATCAATTATAGGATGAAGCTGACATTCTATCATATTGTGTAGCAGGTACTGCTTACCTATTTAGCAACATTTCATGTCACCTGCCACATTTCATGTCATGCCTGCCCAGCACTGGTAACCCCTTGGAGTTTAATAACCTCCTGCAATATCTAAGTATTCATAGTTTCCAAAACCCGCTAGCTGTCTCCAGCCTCTAGGCTCTCATGTCATTCTTCCCGATCCCTGGGAGGAGGCATCTCCCTGTGTCTCTTGGGAAATTCTATGCTTCAGGGGCAGCTCCAAATCTACCTTCACAGTAAAACCTTTCTCTTCTGTAGCCCAATAGGCTTGAGCCTTCCTTCTCCAAAGTCCCTATTCCATTTGTACAAATGCCACTGAAGCAAACATCCTAGCAAACAGCAATTACTTATTTACAAAGACTCCAAACTCCATAAAGGAAAGATTCAAGTCTTCTCATCTGCACTTTCCTAGCACACAGCTCAATGCTGTTCTCAGATATTCAACCAGATATTCAAAACAATACCTAAGTGAGCCCCATGAAACACAACACCTAGATCATTTCCCAATATAACTATTAAGTAGTGTATGAAGGATATTATATAGCATTATGACTGTAAAAATTCCAGAACTTACTACTGGCATGACTTTGAGTAAATCACTCACACTCTCTGAACCTCAATATCTTCCCCATATTGTGTCCAGGAAGCTGAACTACAACATCTCTGGACAGACTGCACTTGCACAGTTCCAAGCAACAACGGTTCAGTGTTTTTATATATACAGGCAATATGTCATTTTCCCTAAACCATCATTCATCCTCAAGTATATATGGCATCTTCATCATGAGTCATCCAGACAGAAATCTCATATTCACTGTTCATCTTTTCTCTCCTTTGCTACCCACATTTAATTAGCTGCCAAGCTAGTTTTTTTTCAGTCTAAAGTGAAATTTAAAAAAAAAAAGTAGTATGACTGCTTACAAAGTATGTATTCAAACACATCTGTGTGTGTTTACACAGATATCAATAGAAGGAGGCTTATAATTATCTCTTGGGTTTTTTTGTGGGGGGGTGGTACTGGGGATTGAACCCAGGGATGCTTACCCACTGAGCCACATCTCTAGACCTTTTTATTTTTTAATTTGAGACAGGATCTCCCTAAGTTGCTTAGGACCTCACTAAGTTGCTGAGGCTAGCTATAAACTTGTAATCCTTCTGTCTCAGCCTCCTGAGCCACTGGAATTACAGGCATTAGTCACTGCACCTGGTACAACTATCTTTTTTTTTAAAATTAAAGACCATCAAGGATTATATTCCTCTATCTTCCTGGGTATTAAACTTTGAGAAAGTATGAAAGACAATGACATTTTTAGTGTCCTGGCAAGAGCAAAAGACAGCAATTCCATGTTGGTCCCCTAATTCTCATTAAAAATTTTCACATTCATGGTAGTTAGAAGTCAGAACCAAACCCTAGTTTCTAAACCAATATGCTTTCCTGTGGAGTCTGTTCTTCCACACCCTCTGGCACCCCTGGGGGGTGCCAGCTCTCCTTACCAGCTTCTGCGAACAGCCTCCTAAAACCTCTTGCCTTTGGCCTCTTCTCCTTCTAATCCACACTTAATATTAGTATATTGTTACTACAATATTCCAATATGACACTATTAGAACATTGTTACAGTATATTATCATCTTCCTTCCTCTACTGGAATTCAAGCTCCAGCCACAGAGAGCATAGTCTATGCATCCATGGGCTGTAACCCCCCCACACCAAGTGCTCTGCCCCGTACACACAGGCATTCGGAAAATGACTGCAGAGGAAACCAATAATTTTACAGAGTAGACCCTCAAGCTCACCTTTGATCATGTGGCTCTCCCTGTCCTTCTGGCAAAACAACAACAACAACATCAAAACACTTCACCTTTGTGACCTCAGGCAAGTTATTTGGCCTCTCTGAATCTTTCTCCTTTGAAAAATGCAGAAGCTAAATAATTGCCTCATAGGAACAACTGTGAAGTAAAGTCAAAACATTCCTTATCTCCAGAGAATGTTTACTCCAAGTGAGATGGACACCCAAAGTTCAAAAACCAAAAGAGATTATCATGAGTACTCACAGATGAATTGCCAAATAACTGCAGTAAGCAATGAAAAACCCAAGGAAACAGATCAGTGTGGGCTGGACAGATCCACTCATTCATTCAACAAATACGCACTGCAAATCTATTTTATTCCAGACCTGCCAACAGGTGTTGGAGTTATGAGACTAAAGAGAACAGAGTCCTCGCCCTCTTGGGGTAACAGATCTGAAAGGCTTAATGAAACAACCATGTTTAAATAAGAATAAGAATTTTTTAATAAGACTAGAAGAAAAATTTGAACAAAAATAAAAATCATTCTAGTGGAAAATGACTTATTTGAATGAATAAAGAAATAAAAAATGAATGAGTCTCAATAAACATGAAAACTATGGAATTCTATTTTCACTGAAGTGAGAGAAAAACGAGTTACAAGCACATTTGGTAGGAACCATAAGATTCTCCCCAGAAGTATTTTTAGAGATTCCCTCATAGTTTCACCAGTCTCAAAAACAGAAAAAAGAAGAGTTTGAAAAAGGGTAAGAAAAAGTATTTAAAAATTAGAGAAAATTTAGGGATTAAATGATATAATTCTGAAATATATATATACATACACACACACACACAGACACACACACATATAGTCTCACAAGGGGAGTCACATACTACAATAAAATAGTCTTATTAACAGTAAAGCACAGCATGAATAAAAATAAGGCATCTACCAACAAAGAGACAACTAATGACCCAATATGCTAATTTTAAGATAAGCACAGATAAAAAGAAAAATCTGAGTTACAGTAGTCTCTCTTTCTCCTCAGGAATACATTTCAAGATCCCCCTGACACCAAGGCTAATACTGAGCCCTACACATGCCAAGTTTTTCATGTTCATACACACCTATGATAAAGTTGAATTTATAAATTAAGCATGCTAAGAGATTGACAACAACAACTAAAAATTAAATAGAACAATTGTAACAACATACTGTAAGAAAAGTTATCTAAAACTTGCAAATTTTTCTTTGTGCTTTTTTTCATTTAGTATTTTTGGATCATGGTTGACCTTGGGTAACTGAAAATGCAAAAAGCAAAACCACATATAAAGGAAAGCTATTGCATCAAAAGAGATAAAAATGTGAGACATATGGTCACTTTGTTTTCCAACACGAGTCAGCAAAAGGACTTACCAACTTTTTCCCTGATGCTACTGTTTGCCTCCACCGTCAAAGCAGATGCTTCATGCCTCCCAGAGTAGAGCTGAAAGTCCGAAAAAAAGTAGCTGGTATCTTCTAGAATTTGCACAGGACTGCTGGGGCTGTAAGAGACAGGAGCGGGTGCTGGGAGGAAGAAAGTAACGTGTATGTTAGTGCCAATCAAGTGCCCCCTCTTCCTGTGTGACTCATGATAGCCCACAAGGCATGCTCCCACATTTCAACCCACAGCAGGAGTGCCATATCTTTTTGATTCATAAAATTCCAAAGTTACTACTCAGAATTATCACAAGTCCAGCCACCCACAAAAATGACCCGTGAAGTCAACACACAGTCCTCAAGACACGATGAGCAGAAGCATAGATGCCTCACATGTTCCAGTTCCAAGGGCAGCGGCAGCAGCACCATCCAAAGCCAAGTCCTCAAGTTCAGAATGATCAAGGAGGGAGATAGAAAGGAGAGAGATGGGAAGGCCAGAAAAGGAGAACCAAAGTGTGAAGAGCAGATATCTCTCACAACATAAACGAGCTCAAGGAAGAGGTGGTCACTTTGTCAGATGATATGCTTGCAAGAGAATGTCCCAGCCCAGTTTACTTAGGCCTCACGCAAAGATTTCTGAAGTCGTGTGCTGCAGCACGGAGCTGAGGTTCTGGAATCTGGGCCTCTGCCAAGCACTGGCCTTTCAGCTCCAGTTTCTCTGCTTCACACACAAACCAGAGTGTGCTTCCTCTTCCAATTAAATGTGACACTGAACTCAGTCCTACAGCCACTGAACATGAAATACCACTACAGTGACACCGACAGTACACACAAAATATCCATGGGAACTTTTAGCAGGATGGGTCTAGCCTATTTCCTGCTCTGCAGATTTCTCTGTGTGGGCACCATGTGTAAGGCTGTTTTTAGCAAAAGTAACTTAGTTAACTCTGGAGAGTCAAACATTTTTAAAAAATTAAAATCCTTTCCCAAAGACAATTCCATTAGAAGAAAAAATGCTGTTCAGCAATTGCTTTGAACTGGTCATTTGAATTTCTTCCTAGGTTTGTTTTCTACCCATTTCCCACAACGTGAAGCTACTAGTAAGCCACTAATTATACCAAGAGCTATGAGATGGGAATGCACTGGTGATCTTCCTGAGTTTCTTTACATCGACAAGTGAATAGCATTTATATGTGCTCCTGAATCATAGGCACATCTGCCCTAGAAAGAAAAAAGATTTTGATAACTATTTACCTTATAAATTTAAAATAAAAACAGTTGTGACTCTCACTTTGTGAAATGACATATTGTATGAAGATAGTCTAAAATCATAGTTCAAATGCACAGGACACTATTTCTCAGTCTCTCTCTCTCCTCTCTCTCTCTCTTTCTCTCTCCCTCTTTTTTTGTTTTTTGTTTTTTCTTTGTTTTGCCAATCTACAAGGACTATTCCACAAAGAAACTCAAATCTTTCCTGGTCCTCATCTTCTACATCTGTATATATATAAATATAAATATCTGAACTTCTAAGGCTAGAATCAGGATCCTAGATAGCCAGGATCCAAAGCCAAATCCTGACCTGGCTTCTGTTTTCAGGCAGGTAGAAAACTAGGGAGGTACAAAGTACAATCCTGGCTGCATGTCAAAATCTCCTGTGAAACTTTTAAAACCCGGCCTCAAGCAGACCTATTCATTTGGAAGCTGGGAGTTGCGTTCAGGCATCTATAATTTATAAACCCTTTAAATGACCCCAATGAGCAGCCAAAGTTGTGAAGCTTTAAGCTAGGGGAAGAACGTCCACATAAAGGAACATGAACACACACACCCACACAAACACACACACACACACACACACACACAAACACACACACATACACACACACACACACACACACCCATACACACAACACCTTTTTGTGCCTCCACCCCATTCCTCCCATCAAGTCAAAGAGGAGCTGACAGCCCATCTGCTTCAATAAAAGAAACAGTCATATTTTCTGCAGGATGAGAGATAGGGGTTAAATTTCATTATGCTGCATATGGATTTCCAGTTTCCCTAGCACCATTGTTGAAGAGATGATCTTTTCTCCAATATATGTTTATGGTGCCTTTGTCTAGTATGAGATAACTGTATATATTTGGGGTTGTCTCTGTGTCTTCTATTCTGTTCCATTGTCTTCATGTCTATTTCGGTACCAATATCATGCTGTTATTGTTACTGTAGCTCTGTAGTATAATTTAAGGTCTAGTACTGTGATACCTTCAGCTTCCCTTTTCTCACTAAAGGCTACTCTGGGCCTCTTATTTTTCCAAATGAATTTCATGATTGCTTTTTCTATTTCTATCTCTCTCATACCCTGCACAAAACTCAACTCAAAGTGGATCAAGGACCTAGGCATTAGACCAGAGATGTATATCCACTAGAAGAAAATGTAGGCCCAACACTCCATCATGGTGGCTTAGGAACTGACTTCCTCAAAAAGACTCCTCTCCTAAAGCACAAGAAGTAAAATCAAGAATCAATAGGTGGGATGGTATCAAACTAAAAAGCTTCTTCACAGCAAAGGAAATAATCAAGAGCATGAATAGAAAGCCTACAGAATGGGAGAAAATCTTTACCACCTGCACCTCAGATAGAGCATTCATTTCCAGGATATATATAAAGAACTAAAAAAATTAACACTAAAAAAATCAAATAACCCAATTAATAAAGGGGCAAAGGAACTGAACAAGCACGTCACCACAGAAGAAATATGAATGGTCAACAGTATATAAAAAAAAATGTTCAACATCTCTAGCAATTAGAGAAGTGCAAACTAAAACTACACTGAGATTTCATCTTACTCCAGTCAGAATGACAATCAAGAATACAAGTAACAATAAATGTTGGCAAGGATGTGGAGAAAGGGGCACACTCATACATTGCTGGGGGGACTGCAAATTGGTGCAACCACTCTGGAAAGCAGTATGGAGATTGCTCAGAAAACTTGGAATGAAACCACCATTTGACCCAGTTATCTCACTCCTTAGTATATACCCAAAGGACTTAAAATTAATAGTGACACAGCCATATCAATGTCCATAGCAGCTCAATTCACAAAAGTTAAGCTATGGAACCAACCTAGGTGCCCTTCAACAGATGGATAAAGAAAATGTGATATATATTGACAATGGAATATTACTCAGCCATAAAGAAAATGGAATTATGGCATTTGCCAGGAAATGGTTGGAACAGGAGACTATCATGCTAAGTGAAATAAGCCAGTCCCAAAACACCAAAGCTGAATGTTCTCACTGATATGTGGATGCTAACACACAAATAAGGGGGCAGGGAGAATAGAAGGTCATTGGATTAGACAAAGGGAAATAAGGAAAGGGAGGGAGATGAGTATAGGAAAGACAGTAGAATGAATCGGATATAGCTTTCCTATTTTTAATATATGAATACATGACCAATGAAATTCCACATCACGTACAACCGCAAGAATGGGATCATAATTAGAATAAGATGTACACCATATATGTATAAATATATGAAAATATACTCTACTGTCATGGGTAACTAAAAAGAACAAATTAAAACTGATATTTTTAAAAAATAGACCTGGGTCAGGAATGTCATGTTGCAGCATATTACACTTTGGGTGATCCCTTCTAGTCACATGACTAAGAATTTCAAATGATAAAAGAGCAAACTTCTAATAAAATTGAGGTATGTATGTATAAACAAATGTATATAAAGGAGAGCATAGATGTGTGGAGCTCAGATGGAGCCCTGCACTAAGCCATTCACTACAACACTGGTTAGGAATTACTTTTCCCCACTTTACTCACGGGCTGCCAACTAAGAGTAGAATCAAGAGCTCTAAGGCCTCAGGACACTGAACAGAGTGGTCTCCGAATGGGCTTACACACACACACAACTCTCCCTCTCTCTCCCTCTCTCTCGGACGGAGGCACATGATGCTCAACTAGTGCCTCCTTTCTCCATTCACGTGTGGAGGCCACTGCCTCACGTTCCCACAGATGCCGTTATTCCTGGATGCTGAAGAAAGGCAGGAGAGCCGAGTGGATGACCAGAACAGGCTCCTGAGGCAGGCAGGCTCACTCCACTCAAGCCAGGAATCAGTCAGGTGAGCTATCCCAGCACCAAGGCGGCCCGAAAGGAATCACACTTCTTGCTTTCTCACCAGCAGGGCAAGGAAAAGTGGCAGTACCATGTGCCACAGGATCTGCACTGCATTCCTGGGCCACGCGGGACACATCTAAGAGAGGCTGGACCCATCCTCTGCCTATTTTAGTTCATTGTCTTCCCTAGAAGCTCCTGTACCTCAAGTTGAGTCTATTTTCTTAAACCAAATGATCTAACTTGACAGGGTCAAAGATGTCTGAAATGAGAAATGAGAAGGAGAGGCGTGGTGTGAGGGGAAAGCTGTCGTCTTGGCTGGGAGTTCATAACCAGGAGTGGAGTTGTGAGAAACAGCAGGAGGCCCCAGATACCACTACCACCCAGAAAGGTCCTGCAAGGCTGGCTTGGGCCCAGCAACCCAGCAACACTGCCAGTTTAGGGGGGCTTCTGGCCTCTCGAGGATCCTGGGGGCTCAACAGTGTGTGGTATTATAGTGTAGATGCCCACAGGGGTGCCAGAAGAGCTCTTTCCATATAAAAAGTCTCATCTTCATGGTTAACTTACAATTATCTTCTTCCAAACCAGAACCCTGTCTGAGGGTCACCACTCACATGCCTCAGTGTGCACAGGAGGTGGCCAAAGCACCAGAGACCCAGCAGGGTCAGTGTAAAGGGTCAGCTGTCTGGGAGGGTTTCTCTGGAGAAGGGGCACACACAGCTCCCAGGGCCCCTGCCCAGAAGGAAAGCAGAGATCTATTTGTGCTGCATTTAACATGATATTCTGAGATTTTTCAGGATTGTTGAAGGTTTAACATTTATGTTTTATATTTGACACGTTTCACCAGCTTGGCTCCTAAATGACAAAATGCACACGTCCCTTGTCAACACAGAGAATCCTGGCTCCCCTCTCACTGAGCCTGACTGCTTCTGGCTTACTGAAGAAGCAAGGAACGTTCCCCCATCATGGTTTAGACTTTCTTTGTGACTGTCCAGAGGCCTGCGGGTAATGTGAACTGAAC